GTACCATCATCTGGCATGCCTTTTTCAGAAGAGGTCTTTCTGAGATTATTTTCCACACCACATCAAGCGCTTCTGGGCCCTGAGTAGCATGAAGCAGCAGGCTCCCGTGAGGAGGGCTTGGCCGGGCACAAGCGCCTTCCCTGAGCTCCGGAACGGCAGTCGGGCACCGCCCTCAGTAGGCCTTGCTTTGCTGGTTCCTGGTTCTCTCCCTGCTCTTGGCCCCGCAGCCTTCCTGTGGGCCAGGGAGGGGTCTGAGCGAAGGTGTGAGTTGGAACTGTTTCTTCTGCAGACTTCTGTGGTCCTGGAAAGATAAGTGCTTGTTAGTGCCTTGCTGAACTGACCCAGCTGACTTCATATTTTGACAGTATTCATCATGAAGAGAATTCCAGGGATTTTTAAAGGATCAAAAGTCCAAGGCAAAAAGAAACAAAACGTTTTATAGTTTGTACTTACTGACCGAGGATTTTGGTTAACCAGCTGTTTAGTAGGAATTGTTTAAACCACCATGTAAATTTCTTCTGTTGAGAATGAGACACTGATAAATTATTTGTAGTCAGTAACTCATGAGCATAATGATGAAATTTAATCTTACTATTGAAAAATCGCAGTTCCATTCATTAAACAGATATTGACCTTTTGTGACAAATACTGTATACTCCATTGGAGCTGAATAACCAAATATTCTTATCAGTTCTTAGAATTCTTGCCAGTTCTTAAAATTGGTAAGACTTTTAAATAAATTGTTCTGCTATAAATTGACATTTAAAAATTTAGATAATTGGTAATAATTAGGATGCAGAAGCACTAAAAAAAAAGTATCTGTAACGTATCTATGAAGGATTTACCAGAAAGCTGAAAAACAGAAGTAATTTTGTGGAATGATACAGTAGTAACTGTTCAATAAAGTAGTTCTGCTTTTTAAGGGAGTTTTTATTATAATTTTTAATTGTAATTGTAAGTGATGATAACAGACATAAAGTAACACTGTGATAATATAAATGATTAGATGCTAAATTTTGTGTAACGAATTTAAGTACTTGAGAGTTGAGATAAAGGAGCCACCTTGGGAAGTGGTAGTTGGGAAAACGCTTGCTGGAGGTGATGGGACTTGTACAGATGGATGAGATTCCTGAGAACAGGGGTAAAGGAGACTATCTTAGCAAGAGGGCAACTCAAGCCAGGAAAGAGGGGGCGTCTGCCCGCCCCAGGCTCCACGTGGGCGCATGGCAGGACGAGCTGAGTGGTGGGACACGGCCCTCGACCCCTCCCTGGCTTCCCAGGTGCCTCAGCGGTAAAATGTGGATGGTATAGGCGCGGACTCTGCGGGGGACTGTGAGACGGACTGCGATGCTGAGAGTCAGGCTGCTGGTGCACAGGAAGTGTGCAGTGGACCGAAGTTGCTGTGGCTGTTGGGGAGGATGGGAGGGCAAGACTGCTGGGTGTCGGTCGTGTTCTGGTGTGACGGGAATTAGGAAGCCCCCGCAGCACTGCCCCCAGGTAGGATGTGACCGGATAAACCGAGGGTGGTAGGTTTGCCTGCTCTGCTGTGCTGGGTGCTTTATCTCCGTCATCGTGTGCCTCTCCTTGGCCCTGCGCGGAGCTGGGGGACTTTGTTCTTCGCGGCTGTGAGGGAGGTGACGAGCACCTCTGCAGGGCCACCCGGCCACCTCTTGGGAAGGCAAGGTTTGAACCCAGACCTGCCTGGTTCCAAAGTGTAGGCTCGGGCTGATGACCCTGTGGGGAAGCGGTGGCTGGCTCAGGTCATTGGCACTGTTACTGAAAGGTGGGTGGGTTCCGACCCCACTTGCCAGAAAAAAGGAGGGGGAAGAAGAGGAAAGAAGATAGTAACCCAGCAGTGGGAAAAGAGACAGAACCTGGTGATTGGCTGTCAGAGGGAAGAGTATGAGGTGAGTTGGAGGTGATGGTGCAGCTGGAAATGAAGGCAGGAACTGGTGGTCCCTACATTCCCCACACCTGGGTTCAGGCTTCAGAAAGCTCAGGCACCATGGCTGGAGTCCCCAGGTTTCTTCGAAGGATAGTTTCCTGTATTTGGGAAGCTTGTTGTCACTTCGGGGCTCACAGGAGTCATGCTGGTGAGAGTGACATGTTGCCTGGCTAGTGTCTGCGTTCTGGTGCCATCCGTGCCTTTGGGGGCTGGAGGGGGAGTGACCTTAGGGAAGAGAGATGCTTACTTGTGCTCCTCAGGCCTCCGTCTGCGTTTATGCCTCCTGGGACAGTGCTGCTCCCACCAGTGTTGAAAGACCAGTTTTTAAAATTGCAGCGAGTAGGACTACTCTGTTTTCCATCGCACTGCACAGGCTTCTCATCGCGGTGGCTGATTGTTGAGGCGCAAGGGCTCCAGGGGCGCAGGGTTCAGTAGCTGCCGCAGGTGGGCCCAGGACTCTAGAGCAAGGCTCAGGAGTTGTGCTGAGCAGGCTTAGTTGCTCTCTGGCATGTGGAATCTTCCTGAATCAGAGGTTGAACTCGTGTTCCTGGTATTGGCAAGCAGATTCTTAACCACTACCACCAGGAAGGCCTTGGAGCGATACTTTTGTAAAATAAGGATTACTAGGAAAAGAAACTGAAAAAGACATTTAGGAAGCAAACTTGGATTTTTTGTTATTAGATTCAGTGGGTATAAAATCACCCTGTCACATTGCCATTCTAAATGCTTATTCTCAGTCTCTACTTAGTTTTGACTGCAGACTACCAGACTACTCATGGTCTGGTACACTTTGAGAGCAATAATCTAGGAAGAAACTTTGTTAAGCAAATTAGTGAACAGGACGCTTTTGGAATATTTACATTGTTAGAGAGTAAAAACTGTCTTTCAGTTGGCATTTAAAAAACTGTAGATGTGTGTTTGTGTAATCTAATGACAGACAATATCTTTCAATAAGGTTCCCTATTAGGGGCAGGAATGCCAAAGAACTCTTCCAAGAACTGAGGCTGATATTGTGAGGGATCCATGAGTTTAAAACTAGTAGCAATATTTGGAAAAAGTGGTGCTTTAAACTTCCTCTGTTCTTCTGAGAATCACTATTTCTTTTGCTCAATTAATTTGTATTAGTTTGTTTTCTCTGTTAACATTTGGCTTGCCTCTGAATTGCTTTTTATGTTTTGGTGCATAATTTTATGTATATTCTTTTATGGGGTAGTTTCTTAAACTGCAAAAAAGAAGTCCCGGTCGTTGCATGTGCTGACGCAGAGATCATGGGGTAGCTCAGTGGTTCTAATTCAGGTTCGAGTTTTGACTCTCGCCGTCAGTGTGTCTTATATTTTGGCCTGTTTTTACTTTTGCTGCTGTTTGCTTGCACCGAGGTCATTTGCCGAGTTGTTCCCTTAGGCTCGACTTGTCTCCCTCCTTCGGGCTGAGCCCAGGAGCTGCTTACCCCCAGCTGGCCTCTCCTGTCCGGACCCCCCCACCTCTGCCGTGCACCCACCTCGTCACACATCACAGGACGCTCAGGCCCCACGCACGGCCTGCTTCCCCTTGCTCCAGAGTTGGGACTTCTTCTGTAGACCACACTCTGCTTGCCTCACCTTCCAGACAGCCGGTTCCCAACCCGGACCTTCTGGGGTTGGGAAGAGAGGTGCTCCCCCCACTTCAGCTGCGATGAGGCAGGGAGGGTCTTTTGTGCGCGTCTACAGTCCTTTGCCCTGGGTTCCTGGGGCACTCGTACCACTCAGCTCCAGACTGCCCGTGCTCGGGTTTTGAGCCTGTCATCATGAGGTCCCCTTTTTTACACACTGCTTGTAATCTGACAGACCTGGATACTCAGTCACTGTCCCAGGCCTCTTTGGAAGCGAGATCTTCAGAACCCGCACTCGTAGGAACCAGAGCTGTGAGCCCCAGAATCGCACATGGGGCCAAAGCGGGTGTTTCAAGGAGACGTTCGGTTGTCTCCACTGGTGATTCTCCGATGGCAGGGGAGGGGACGGGTCACCTTCATTCAGCAATGACCACCCAGCAGGCTGGATTGCACAGGAGGTTTCTCATGAGGAAAAAGATCCTGCTTTTAAAGAGGGGAGGCACTTTGAAAAATCACATTTAGCCCAAGTCAGAAGTCAGACTCTGGAGAGTACTGTGTGTCTTCTCCCTGCCCCCTTTACGGGAAAACAGGCTTGGGCTCCATATCCGGCCCTTCCACGCCTTCGGTAGGTACGGGGACCTCGGCTGGGTTATTTAACTTCCCTGAACTTCCCTGTTTTCTCGTCTGTAAAATGGGGGGAATGTGGTCTCTCTTGAAGCATTATGATGAGGATTAAGGTGATGCCTGTGCCAGACTTGGAGTGTGGGCTCGATGGGTGAAAGCCACCTGAACGCTAACGCAGGAGAGGCTGTGACCCAGCGCGGGAGCCGCTGCCTTCGCGTGGCTGGCCGCAGTCCTGGTTCTCAGCCTGAGCGGGCGTCAGGATCACCTGGAAGACTGTTGTAACTGCAACTTGCTGGGCCCTCCCGCCCACCCTGGTGGTTTGATTCATTTGGTCTAGGGTGGGGCGGGAGAAGGTGCGTCTCTGAATTTCCAGGTGACACTGCTCCTGCCTCCGCTGGTCTGGGGACCACACTTTGAGAACGACTGGGCTGCAGGTAAACTCACCCATGAGCTTGTAGGTGCTGGAGCTGTGTTTGAAAGCCGAGCTTTCATGTGGTTAGAAAATGCTTGAAATACGTTTTACAAACACTGAATTTAGTATCTCAAGGATTTTTTTCCTCCTGAAGTCCAGGAGTCTTCATTAAACATATGTGAAGAAGAGTAAGTTGCGAGAGTAACAGTTAAAAACATATTATGGACAGTCTAACAATATCATATTGGCTGAGGTATGTGAAAGTGCTTTTATAAAATGCTGAAAACTGCAAAAAAAATTTATAAAAATTAAAACATTTCAATATTTTAATTTTTAAAATTGAACATCATAATGGAGTATAAAATAGTGTAACTTAGAGTTCTCATCTCAATGTGCTGTTTACCGTGTGTATTTTTCTCTTTCTCCTCCAGGCTGCTGACTTGAGTAAACCAATAGATAAAAGGATATACAAAGGAACACAGCCTACTTGTCATGACTTCAACCACCTAACAGCCACAGCGGAAAGTGTCTCTCTCCTAGTGGGCTTTTCCGCAGGCCAAGTCCAGCTTATAGACCCAATCAAAAAAGAAACTAGCAAACTATTTAATGAGGAAGTAAGTAGCACCCTGTCTTAGCTGTTAAGAACCCCTATAAGAATGTATACGTTCTTACCGAGGGTATGGGCCTTATAATTTTACTCTGTGAGTGAAGCCCATTTTCCATCTCCAGCTGTCCTACCTAGTATTGCCCAAGTTTAAATGTGGTGCGTTAACTTGTTGACTTTTACCTATTCTTTTATTGGGCTAACTGTTTTTTTGTGCATTTTTTTATGTTCAGGTGTCTATAGCAGGTGTTTTAAGAAAAATTGTTTTTATAATGGAGATAAACGAGACTAATAGCTTGATCTTTATATAATTTAAATAAGAAGATAAAGAATTCTAGACTGTATTCACATTGCCAGAAAATTTCATGCAGCTCACAGAACTTGCTCATATGTCCTTAGGCTTCGCAGATGGTAGATAAAGTTTTGATGTGTGTGTTTGACAGGCATACATCTGAGAATTTGCTCTCTTGCTTTTGAAAGCGCTTGCTCTGGCGTCACCTCCGACGTGGTTAGACGTCCCGGCACTTGAGACTGGCTGCCGTGGCGCAGCCCCTGCCTGTGTTGTGCTGTGTGTCCTGGGATTCCTGGTGTCTCCAGTCTCATTCTTGAAGGAGCCCGAGAGATCTGAGCTGTCTGCTCAGGAACATGTCAGAACCTTTAAACCTGGGCAGACGGAAGTTGCCAGATAGATTATATCTTTAAAGGCTGTTGGAGTGGCTTTCCAGTCCAAGTATCGCCATTACCTATCTGACACACTTCCTCTGCTGTTTGAGTGTGACTTTCCTAGTAAATGGAACAGACGAGGTCGGCTTGCTGAGTTAGAGGCCTTGGCTGCAGTCTCCTTGTAACCTCAGCCCTGTGGTGACGAGGGTCAGGTCACCTGAACCCCTGTCAGGAAGGGCAGGAGGTTTTGCATTGTTGCATGGTCTTAAAGTTATTAACTTGAAACAGAAGTACGTTATAGATTCTGGTTTTTAAGAAATAATTTTGTTTGGGAAGGAATACTCCACCTGACAAATTGCAGTCAGAAGTACGTTATAGATTCTGGTTTTTAAGAAATAATTTTGTTTGGGAAGGAGTACTCCACTTGACAAATTGCAGTTAAAACTCTGATTCTTTTGCAGTCCCTATGGTACATGCTGTCCATGTGTACCCAGTGTCCACCCACAGTGCTCCTGTTGGACTTTGCCAGTGGATTTGGTGAACTCTTTTGAAACATGCCATCTCCTCTTCTAGTTTCATCTGGGTTGACTGGAACAAAACTTGCCATCTGGACTGACAAACTAGAGAGGAAAAGTATTTAATCCCATTTTCTGTTAAAAAAAAAAAAAATCTTAAGCAGCAAATTATTCTGTTTACCTAAACATTTTATTAACAGCATCTGAGGGAGTGATTTCTAAGTATCTGGATGATTTTGACAGGAGGATGGTGGCAGGGAGAGTGGGGACACAGAACTGTACTTCTCTGCGTTCTTAATAGAAATGGTGAATTTGGCATCCTTGTGGGGGTCTGTTTGTGTTTGGGTGGGGACGTTTTTTCAAGGGGGAGGGGATTGGAGCCATGTAGAGGGTGGTTGGTAAACAAGGTCGGGAGGCCACCCGGCTGTGGATGGCACAGAATGCCTCTTGGAGAACAAGAAGGATCTGTGTGCCGTCGCTCTGGGTGGGGGCGCGGCAGAGGCCCCGGGCCCTGAGCGCACTCGGGTGCCTCAGCTCGCCCCGTTCCTTACTCAGGACAGCTGGGAGCCACGGGCTGGAAAGCGGCTCCCCACCTCAGGGAGTGAAGCGGGGTTACCTCCTACTCTTTGTACATTTTATTTGGAAAGTGGCTGTTCAAAGTGAGAGGATTGTGTGTGGTTTAATGCCAACTTGGCATTTACAACTCAAGGCTAAAATTGATTGCCCTTCACAGTGAGGGTGTTCTTTGGCCGTGTGGATGGCATTCTCATCAGATTTTGGTCAGGATGTCTCGGAGACAGGGTCATCGGAGGTTTGTTTCTCAGAGGGTGCAGGGGATGGTGATCGAAGCAGTGGTTAGTCTGTGCTTTGCATTCGTGTGAGACTTGGAGGTTTCCGAGTATTTCACCTGCTTCCTCTGCAGGGAGGACGGGTGGTTGTCTCTACCATGCAGACGGAATTAGAGAGAGGGTAAGTGAGTCGTCCAGACCCGGCAGCAATTTGGTGATGTGCTTGGATCCAGATATTAATTCTACGCATTCTTACTGGCCATAGATTGTAAGCCCCATCATAGCTGGTTGCCATATGGGCCTTGTCACCTCCAGAACTCACTGTTCTGTGAGATGGACAGGGAGGATGTGAAATGTGTGTTATGAACAAAGTACCAAGAGAGGTGGGTGTTAACTGCAGTCTTTCAGATGTACCAGATATCATAAAATAAAAACCAAAAATTTAGTGGGGGAAGTTTGAGAAAGCTTCCAGAAGGGGACATTTGACCTGGGTTTGAAAGATGCAGAGGAGTTGGAGGAGGATGAGAAGGGCCTTTGAAGCTGGCAAAAACAGCTTAGCATGTGGAGGAACATGAGGCAGACATAAGGGTCCAGACCTCAGTGCGTGGACCTTGGAGTGGCCAGAGGTGAAGCTGGACAGGTGAACCGGAAGCAGATTGTAAAAGCCTTTTGTGACACGCTGAGAAATTTGGATATGACACTGGAGGCCGTGGGGCAGCTTTTGGGGTTTTACTTAATGAAGGGAGTGACAGGATTAAATATGTTTTTTTAGAACTCTTGTCAGCACTTGGGGAAGGTGGAGTGGAATGAAGATAGCAAGACGAATGAGGAGGCTCTAGTGACTGTCCAGGTGAGAGCTGAGGACCTGACCCGGAGTTGGGGCCATTTCCTCATTCATTCCGACCGCGTACAAAGAACACCTCCCCTGTATCTTCCCTTCAGAGAGGGGGGAGAAGTGTGAACAACGCCACACATACACACACGCACACACGCACACATGGCACGTGGTGGTGACGTGTGATGTCAGAGGAGACAGTGGGGCTGAGGGAGACAGACAGACACGCGGCCTAAGGGATAGGATGGGGGGCACGTCTCGGAGGAGGTGGTATGCTGTGAGCCTCACCTCGGGTGCAGAGCTGGAGCTGCAGCATTCTCACAGGAGGGAGGGCAGGGGCAGGCCCTGTGGGAATGAGCCTGGGGCCAGGAGACATGGGCGAGGTGTGGAGTGAGGGCCTGGCCCAGGTCGCTGCTTGGCCTGCGTGCTGGGATCTCACAGGGGGGCAGCAGGTGGTCTGCTTGGTGTTTTTGCAGATTACTCTGGCTCCATCTTGGAGACGGAGTTGGAGAGATGGATGAGCAGATGCTGGGTTTCTGGCCCACTTGGCGCGCTGGGTGAGAGGGAAGGAGCAGGTCCTGGAGCAGAGCGAAAGGTCAGGGCTCCTCTTCCTGCTTATCAAGCTTGAGAGGCCAGTGGGGGTTGGGTACGTGGATCTTGAGCTCCAGACTAGAGGTAAATTCTGGGAGCGGTCAGCATATAGGTAGTAATCACATCCCTGAGATGAGATGGCAGGTCTCCGGAGAAAGCACAATAAGAACAAAGACATGTCTGCTGCGTCCTGGACGTGTCTAGGACTGAGGCCTGTTTATACTCTGAGGTTCCAGCCATCTGTTCATTGCCTGCAAAGGGCATTTGCAACAGTCGGTTTATTACCGTGGAATTTGCAGACACAGAGTGCGGTGGCTAAGAACATAGGTCCTTGAACCTGAGCGCCCAGAGCGCAGACAGCAACTCTGCCCCTTCCTGCCCGCAGGGTGTGGGTCTGTTCCATTGTGTCTCCTCAGCCGGAAGGTGGACAGACTGGTCCCCAGCGGGAGGTGTGGTGAGGATGAGAGGTCTGGGGGCCTGCAGCACCAGCCCTGGGGAGAGCTCGGGGAAGTCCAGCGCAGGGAAACCCGGAGGTTCCTTTCACCGGGGGTTGGGGGAGAAGCTGCTTGGGAGGTGAGGTAGCAGCAGTTTTGAAGGAGAAGCACAAATAATTTTCCAGAACAAGAGGGTAAGGGCAGGGCAGCACAGTCAGAGAATGAACACTTGTCAGGTGATGGGGACTGTTGATCCTGACTGCGGTGTCTGTCTGTCTCACTCATCTGAGGGCTGCTCAGCCTCCCGGGATGCACGTGCCCACATGTGTACACACACTGCAGTACTGGGTACTCCAGCCTTGCCTCCTTTCTGAGGGTGTCTGTACATGACAGAAGAGTAAATGTTTGGGTGGACGGATAGGTGGGTGGGTGAGTGGAAATGAAGTTCTAGAAATCCATGTTAGACCAAAGATGGATGAAAATTTCTGTCTGGGAATAGAGTGTATCTTAAAAGGTGATTTTTCTGCCCATTGAATAAAAAGTTTTAAATACTTGTTTATACAAAAAAATGGGACAGAGAGAAGTATAAAAAAAGATGGGAAAACATGACCTGTGAATCCCAGTGCTCACTGGTAGCTTTATCATCTTTGTGATTTTTTATGTTTTCTAAAAGGTGAAATTGTCAGACTCACACCTTCCGTTAGGGATGCTGGCAGCCTTCACCTCCCGGTCTGGCCCTCAGTCCATCCAGTTCTTGGGCATCGGAGGTGCCCTCTGGGCCATCCTGGCCATAGCAAGAGCTTGGCTGCGTGCCGGTGGAGCCCCGCTCAGGGGGACGGCAGGATCCTGCCCTTGTGGCCTCCCTTCAGGAGCGCCAGCCTGAGGGTTTCTGAGGCCCTTCAGGGCGGGCTTCGGGCTGCTCCTTGGTGTCGCCCCTTTCCTCACGTGCCTTGGAGCATCTCATGTTCTCCGGTCAGTGTCTTGGCACTTCTGATGAGCTCCCAGACCATGCCCTGTCCTTCATAGTAAGAGCTACTAGTGGGAGGGGTCACCCGGGTCAGCATTCAGCCTTGTATGGAGCACCCCAATGGGGCGTGGATCCACTTTTTCATTACAAATGATTACAGTGTATTGGGGAGGAAGAGACATAAAGTGGCAGTTTCTGTGTGGTGATGAACTCAGTCCTGTTCATCTTTGTAAAAGTTCTGATTATATCAGGACTGTGTCCACCGAATAGCAACTTGAGAGGATTTTCAGGTGTGTCTGATTGCTGGGTAGATGGAAAATCTCAGAAGACCTGGTCATCTCAGCCGCTGGCATCCCTGGCGCGTGCTGAGAGCCCCTGTCATTGACTGACTCCTCCCTCGCAGGTTGTGGCCAGGGCAGCAGGGCACAGGCTGTGGGCTCCTTGGTGGACAGCCAGCCTGCTGCTGCCTGCGCCTGGGCCGCCTTCTCTTCACCTCACGCCCCCGGGGTGGGGAGGAGAGGGGCCCAGTTCCGCAGGATTCCGTCTAGTTACCCGGCCAAAGAGTGGTTCTGGGCACATTGTTAGTCTTGTTTCTGTTGCTTTTTTTAATCAAAGGAAGGAAATGGGCATGTAATGATCTACTCCTTGAAGTTTTAACATTGATAAAAGTGACATTTGATCCTCTTTCCCAGGCTTTGAAATCCCCTCTCCTGATAGTGTTTCCTGAGGGAGCAGCATCTTTAAGTGCCTTTACAGAATGAAAGCCCTTGGTCACTGTTTTTGCTTGTGGCTACATTGTGGCTTTTCCAGTAGCTGCTGTGGCTTTTTAATTGTTTTTAGTGTTTTTGTTATAAATTAATACCTGCATTGTAAAATGCATACCCATCCCTCCCCAATAATTTTTTTCCTGCTTATCATGTTGATATTAGTGACAAAAGAGTGTATGCTTTAGAAAGTTTCATTTTAGCAGTGATGGCTTTAATATGGTTACAGGTTTATTTTTATTGTTTCCTTTATACTAGTTTCGGATAGTTAGAAAATTTTGTTTGTGAACGCCATTGATGATGGTTGTTTTGATGCTTGTTGGGTTTCTTAACTGGATTAATTTTAGAAATGAGATGGTTTCTTCTGCATCCAGAATGGGTGATTACCAGGAAGAGAGTGGGTGAGGGAGCCCACTTCCCGGGCAGGTGTCTTGGCGTGCAGACCTGGCATACTAATGCTCAGATTATGGACATTACTGGATTTTATGGGAGTGATCATGGCAGTAGGCCTTGGAGCGTTTTGGTGTTTTCCTGTTTAATGGAGAGCCTGGCGGCGATGCTAGGCGACCTGAGAGCCTGCCTGCCGTGTCCTTCCCGCTGGGTGGCCCCCCTCAGTCTCTCCTCTGCAGCCCTGGAGCAGGGGCTGGCTTCTCCTGGCCCCACCGCCGACCCTGTGCCGAGAGGGGGACGTGGGGGCGGGGAGCAGGGCCCCTGGCCTGGCCCACGCTCACTCAGCGGCAGTTCCTTCCTCTCCTCACGGGACCTCCGGCTTGTTTTCTCTGCTTGCCTGGGTTTGGGCCCGCTCGCTGTGAGGTGCTTGTCCCCAGAGTTTACACCCTGCTCCTCTTGGGCGCCTCCTGCCTTGGCCGTCTGAGTGTCACGTGTCCGGCGGTCGCTGTCCACAGCCGATTTCCCCGTCCTCCCCGCTCATCTTCCTCAGCTCCTTACTCGGTGGGGGCGTGTGGACTTCTCCCAGCACGGCTGCCGTCCGCTCCTTTCTGCCACACCTCTCCCAGGCCTGGCCCCTCAGCTCCTGGGAGTCTGTTCAGACGCCTCCCCCTCTCCGCCCAGCCTCACCCACTGGGGAACTGTCCGTCATGCCACCGCCTCTGGTCGAGTTTAAGAGCTTCTTGTCTGGGGACAGTTGTCACAGGCTCCGGAGCAGTCTCTCCACCCGCACCATCCTCTGCCTCCTGATGGGGGATTCTGCTTGGTTCTGTGACTTCCCTTCTCAGATATCTTCGGTGCCACCACTGTTTGCAGCAGCATTGCTGTAGTTTGAGCCACAAATTCAATTTAAAATTCTCTAATAGCCACAGTAGATCATTTCAAAACTAGGTGAAGTTGATATTTTATCTAATACATTCAAATATTATTTTAGCAGCTAATCAGTATAAAATTATAAACGAGGTGCTCTCCGTAGTTTTCCAGGTCTTCCGAGTTCAGGGTGAACTGTGCCCTGCAGCCTGTCTCACTCTGGGCCAGTCACTCTCAAGGGCTCTGGGCTTCAAGGTCGCAGCCCAGAGCCCTTAGCCTGGGACTCTGTGTCCTTGAGTCCTGGCTCACGATTCCATATCTGACTTCCGGCCCTTCTTGGGTGCACCAGTGCAGAAGGGTGCCACACACGGCCCCGAGCTGCCTGTGCCCAGCCTGGGCGCCTGCCTCTCCCCGGCCGCCTCACGCACCCTCTGCCCAGCAGCTCCTCACGGGGACCTCGGGTTTTGCCAAGAGTGTTTTTCCAACATAAACATGTGCTCGTCCAGCTCAAGGCCTCATTGAAACTGGAGAATTGAAGCACAGCAGGGAAATCCCATTCCTTAACTTTGAGAACTAAGATGCCTTACCCTGTTTACTAGACATTTTCTAGAACAAAAGTACACCCTTAGGGTTCTGAGACTGAGATACATTCATTATAGTTATTGAACAGGGTGTTCTAGGTATTTGTTTCTTGATTTCTGTTCTTTTTGTTAAACCCAAACCAAGAACAGTATGAAATAATAGCCCAGAGCAGCTTGGTTCAGTGACTCCTAGCCAGCCCAGGACGCGTGTCTGGCATCTCACCTGGGGCTGTCCCCTGGCCTGGCCTGATGATCGGGGCTGAGAGGCCTGTGCCGGGAGTCGCCTGGCGGGTCTCCAGGACGACAGTGCGTGGTTCGCTCCCTGTCCGCACCCTTGCTGCCCTCCTGTGAGGACGCCCTGCTGCCGCCTGCAGCCGCTGTTGCTGCCCTTTCCTTCTCGGCTCGGCGAGCTCCCAGGCCAGGGCAGAGGCCCCCCAGGCACTCCTGTGGGGCTGAGTCCTTCCCTCCCCATGCCTGCTCGGTGTCCGCTCACAGCAGACCCTGTCCATCCCCCTCCTTTTCATCCCTCGTGAACGCGAGTTCCCGCGGGAAGGGACGGCTGTCGGTGGCGAACAGTGTCAGCTTGTCTTCTGTGCTCAGTGCAGGAGTGAATGGCCAGGAGTGGGTGGTGAACAGGAGGGCCTGCAGGAGCCTCGCAGAGCCTGTCCCCCGGAGGGGTGGCGGGGCACTCAAGCCTGCCTTCCTGTGGGCAGCAGGACACCCGCACCCTGCTGGTGGGAGTAGACGTTGCCGCATCCTCCCTGGGAGGGAACTTGGCGAGCCCTGTAAACAGTCACCAGCGCGTGTGCCTTCTGACCCAGCCGTTCCCCTGGGACTGGACCCTGCAGGTGTGTGTGTGCGGGTGGAAGCCAACGCAGGCACTGTTAGTCTTTGCCACGTAAGTGTCCGTCAGCGGGGGCTTTTCAGCTCCAGCTCAGCGCATCCGTGTCGTGAGTCCTCTGCACTGTAGGAAGGAACGAGGAGGCTGTCTTCGGACGAGTGCCGACGGATGCGTGTGATGCGTGGCTGGGTGAGAAAGCAGAGGTGCAGATGGTGCAGAAGAGGAAGCTGGGTCCACATGTACCTGTACTTGCCTTGTCCAGACAGGAAGACCCTGGGAAACAGACAGGAAGTCAGCAACAGTGATTCTGGGGTGGGGAGACGGGTGTGAGTGAGGCTTTCGGCTGGACACTTTTATATGTGAATTATGACTGTGTCACCTATTTAAAAAACAAAAGCTTATGTCGCGGGGTCATCCTGAGGACGAAAGAGCGTGTGTGCAGGGCGTCGTGCTCAGGGCCTGGCCGCAGAGCAGATCCTCGGGTCAGAGGTCAGCACCGCCGTCCCGACGGGCCCACCACGCGCCCAGACCCACATGCCCCGAGACGAAGAGGACCTTGTCCCCGCGTTTGCACGCAGGCTGGTGGCAGGCTGAAGGGGCAGAGCACGGGAGAAGCCCTTTCCACAGTGGAGTTGGAGCTGTGAGCCGTTGATTTGGTTGGTTTGCAGGTGGTGAGGTGTGACGTGTCTGTGGTGCCCCAGCGGGGCGCGGAGGTGGGCTCAGGTTTCAGCCCCTAAGTTATATCCGCGTGTGTCCTTACAGCAGTCTCAGTGCTCCTTTTAAACATGGAATGCTCTTTAAATGTATTTTGGCACTCCAGTAACATGGAGTGCCATGGTTCTTTATCTCCGCACCTCACAGTTGCAGAGAAATGCCGTTTTTATTTGATAGCATTACAATTTTGAGTTCTAATGGAGTCATTTTTGCTGTGTCTTTTTAAGCCAAAAAATAAAATTTTCTCCTAACCATAGTGCTAGATATTCTTGTGTCCATCCTTAAATGGAGAAATGTTGGAAAGGTTGAGCTGAGGCTTGGTTGTGGTGAGATACGAGGTGCAGGAGTTGAGGCCACACGCAGCTGGGTGGGGAGGGGGCAGCAGCCTGGCTCCCAGCTCGGGTTGCTTCTGTAGCTGCCCCGCGAGGCCCTGGCTGGGAGGTGAGCCTCACGGCCCTGGGACCCTCGGCCCACAGGCGGGTCACAGTTTGAGAGGCAGCCTGGGCCCGCTGGGTACAGCAAAGCCTGGGGGCTTGTAAGGTGCCCCCGACCTCCGTGGAAACCCTGGCGGTTTGCGCTGGCGCAGATCAGCTGCTATATCTGTGGGTCCCGGGCCGGAGAGGAAGGACGCAAGGGTGGCCGTGTGGCTGTGAAATCGCAGAGCTGGTGATGCCTCCTGCTGCTTGTAACCCTCGCCCAGCGCGCTGTCCCCAGCCCCTGGCCCTTGCACCTCATGGGGTCAGGGCTCCCCACTCCTCCCTAGCCGGGGACAGGTTGACCACCTCCCTTCTGGGGCCTCATTTTCTGTGACTCTCTGTAGAGATGCAGCAGACGCATGGTGCAGAGCGGACCAGAGAGGAGGCCCTGTGTCTCGGCAAGCTTCCCGTCCCTGTGGTCTGTGGCCCCCTGAGGCTCAAGTCGGGGAATCCCAACCACACAGGGGAAGTGGGAGCATAATCGCCCCCCAAGCCTGAGGGCTCCCAAGGCACCAGTTATGGAGGTGGCAGCAGGGCCTGCTGAGGACTTGGGGATCCTGGGAGCTCCCAGTGGTTTCTGGTGCTGTTATTTGGGGGCCGGTGAGCCCCATGCAGAGTGTAAGCAGGGCACATAGGTGGGGGTCATCCTTGGAGGAGTTTCTGCTTTGCCTTTTATTCTTTTGGTTTTAAAGGCAAGATTCCTGATCTGTGCCTGTTAAAGCTGGTCAGTGGATCAAAAATAAGCGTGGGGTATAGTGGCAGTGATTAGTAGGTGTTAGTCATCTGTTCTTAAACACCGCCTTGTTCCAAAGAAGGTGGAGGGATGGCCTATAAGGATACACACAAGACATGGATGGTGAGTGAGGCAGTCAGTGAATCAGGGCTGAGGTCAGAGCCCAGGGAGGTGTGCGTTCCTGTCCTGGGTGTTGCTGGCTGCACATGGACCGACCCCAAAGAGTCTGAATGGGTGGGTGCAGTGAAGACGGGCCCCGGGGGCCGTGAGGGCACGATGCAGCAGAGCGGCACGCCTGGGGAGGCCCAGTGCTCAGCCGGGGGGGCCCGAGAGGCTTGCCTGGGGGGCGCGTAGCAGGGATGCTGTGTAGGTGCTGGAGTCCCAGACCCCGAGCTCCTGGAGTCAGACATGTGACATGCCCAGGGCTGCCCTCCCCGGCGCCTCCTGCGCCTGGCCCAGTGTCATGCAGGCACAGACTAGGCTCCCAGCAGGAGTGTCGACTGACACCCTCAGCACAAGCCAGTGTCCCGACACCTCCGTGCAGTCCTAGAAGGCGATTCCACAAGGGGCCAAGTGCCCTTCGCTGGCCTGCCCACGGGCTGGGGCGTGGAATGCCTGGACGGACGTGTCCCCTTCTCACCGAGAAGCAGACAAGGTTTCTTGCTGGAAACATAGACCTTGAAAACTTCTCCATTGTGATAACTTGTTCTCCTTTGTCTTCACAGAGACTAATAGACAAGTCACGAGTAACCTGTGTCAAATGGGTTCCTGGTTCGGAAAGCCTTTTCCTAGTAGCCCACTCGAGTGGGAACATGTACTTGTATAATGTGGAGCACACTTGTGGCACCACAGCCCCCCACTACCAGCTCCTGAAGCAGGGGGAGAGCTTTGCCGTGCACACTTGCAAGAGCAAATCCACGAGGAACCCTCTCCTCAAATGGACGGTGGGCGAGGGGGCCCTCAACGAGTTTGCTTTCTCCCCAGATGGCAAGTTCTTGGCGTGTGTGAGCCAGGACGGCTTCCTGCGGGTGTTCAACTTTGACTCGGTGGAGCTGCACGGCACCATGAAAAGCTACTTTGGAGGCTTGCTGTGCGTGTGCTGGAGCCCCGACGGCAAGTACATCGTGACGGGCGGAGAGGACGACCTGGTGACCGTCTGGTCCTTTGGAGACTGCCGTGTGATCGCGCGGGGCCATGGGCACAAGTCCTGGGTCAGCGTGGTGGCCTTTGACCCCTACACCACCAGCGTGGAAGAGAGCGACCCCATGGAGTTCAGCGGCAGTGACGAGGACTTCCAGGACCTTCTTCACTTCGGGAGAGACCGAGCGAACAGCACCCAGTCCCGGCTGTCCAAGCGGAACTCGACCGAGAGCCGGCCCGTCAGCGTCACGTATCGGTTCGGCTCCGTGGGCCAGGACACGCAGCTGTGCCTGTGGGACCTCACGGAAGACATCCTCTTCCCCCACCAGCCCCTCTCGCGTGCGCGGACACACACGAACGTCATGAACGCCACCAGCCCCCCCGCGGGCAGCACCGGGAACAGCGTGCCCACGCCGGGCAGCACCGCGCCCCCGCCGCTGCCGCGGTCCAACAGCCTCCCGCACGCCGCCGTCTCCAGCGCCGGCAGCAAGGGCAGCGTGGCGGACGGCGCCATTGCCGCCGGGGTCAGCAAGTTCGCCACGCTCTCGCTGCACGACCGGAAGGACAGGCACCACGAGAAGGACCACAAGCGGAACCACAGTATGGGACACATCTCCAGCAAGAGCAGCGACAAGCTGAACCTCGTCACTAAGAGCAGGGCGGACCCCGCCAAGACGCTGGGGACGCCCCTGTGTCCCCGCATGGAAGACGTGCCCTTGTTGGAGCCGCTCGTCTGTAAAAAGATAGCACATGAGAGGCTGACTGTGCTAGTTTTCCTTGCAGACTGTGTCGTCACCGCGTGCCAGGAGGGGTTCGTCTGCACGTGGGGAAGGCCTGGTGAAGCGGCGAGCTCCAACCCTTAATGCCGCGCCGGCCTGCGGCCTGAACAGGCCGCGACTTCGTCTTGCGGGAGGGGTGGGCCGTACAATGGATGTGAATGACACTTCTTATCCTTAATGTAAATCTAAATGCATCAGAGCCATAATTTTGGATACTGCATGCCATATAATTCCGAATCATTTGATAATTCACCTTAGAACGTTTAAAAAATATAATCAAACTAATTGCCAGCCAAGTCAGTCACCCTCCTGCGAGTATAGAGTCCCACGGTTAGCCTTCCTGTATTAGACTATTTCGATTTTAGGAAAATCATGCCAGTGTGGGGAAACAATGACTTTAAAATGCTAAAATTAAAATTTCTGCTTTAACTGGAATATTTTTGCTTAACTACTCAATTAGAATATTGTACACCTGATCAGCGTGTATGTTCAACAGAGACGGCCATTAATTGTCATTTATAGTCCAATTTTTTACCTTAATCATAAACTGTTTAGGAATCTATGAAATTTAACTTTAGGAACAAAGTGTTCAGCAGGGTTGATTGATATTATTTTTACATTGTTCTGGCAATCCACAGAAAGAGAAGAGCCTTAATTTTTAAAACCCATTTTAGTCATTTTATGACAATTAAAATTGTTTAATAAACATCTTTTTTCAAAGAAGCAGTTTGTAGCACTTTGATTGAGATTCTGTGCACTGACCGAAGTACCCACGTTTCCCAGAGCCTGGGCGGCTGCCGTGGACTGCAGCCCAAGGCTGCCAGTCATGCCGTCAGAAGTGCCTCTTGCCACACAGCCAGGGTCTCACATGGTGGATGTGATTTGCTTATGTTTTCTCCAGCCAGGGGAAGGAGATTTTCTTTCTTTATTTTTTGTGGGGGTGTTGGTTGGGTTTTTTGGTTTGCTTTCTGGTCAGCGAGGCATGTGACCACAGGCCCTCGTGAGCCACCTCAGCTGTTTTGTACAGGCCCCAGGGTTCAGAGAGCTTCCCGCGTCTCCCCCGTTTGGGTTTCAGGTTCCCACCAGAGGCAAAGGGCAGGTGCAGCGTCTCCGTCTTCCGGATCGTTCTTGGAAGGTGCCCCACGTCTGTGTCAGCGGCTCCCCCAGGGAGGCCCCCTCCCCGACTTGGCTGCACCCACTTCCAGGGGCGGCCGCTCTGTCTGACCTGATTGCTCAGCACGGGAATGAGCTGTAGGCGCAGTCGCTTTTTGGTTCACTGTGGACATGGTGGCTCTTGGAGCTGTATGTTTCATGTCAAGATAATGATGGTCTTAGTAACTTACTTTGGTCACTTGGGCTTGTATTTCTGTTGTGTACACCTTTGTAATTAAATACAGAGATCCTGGTCATTTATGCTGGTTTGAGTAGTGAATCTGATGCAGCGAAATGGATGCTTGGTTTCTCTGCGGCTCGAGACCCTGGTTGACGCAGCAGCAGCCCTGGGCCCCCCGGGTCCCCACCAGTCTCTGCTGCACGCGGTCAGGGCTGGCGCCCCTCACTGTTCACGGCGGTGTCTGTGACCCGTGATGGTGGAGGCGGTGTTCTCCTGCGTGAGAATTGCGGTCCATGAAAAGCTAATGTCCTCTGCCTTTATAGACAGTCCTTTGTTCCTAAATGTTAACTGAAGTCAGGTAGCAAGGGCAGCCATCCTTGCGGAGCGTTTCAGCTTCGAGGCTGTCAGATGGAGAGGGAGGCCAACACCCCATGTGCAGTTCTGTGTGCCTGGCAGTATTCCAAGTTCGGGCCAGAGGCTTGTGTACCTGCATCGTATCAGAAGTTCAGTGTCAAAGGCTTCTGAGGCATTGAGTATGCGGTTTCAAAATTCAGGACTTGATACTGGGCCCAAGTGAAGAGTGGCTGACGCAGGTAAGTGGCCTTTGTGGAGGCGGGGAGAGTGCATCTCGCATGACTGTCGGTTCTGAGCGCTTTGCAGGCTGGCCCATGTTGCCAAAGCTCTTGCGCTGCGTCGCTTTCTGGCTCCTCCCGCCCTTCATTGTCTGCTGGGTACTCACCTGGGGTGGTCTGTGGATGGGAGCAGGGTAGCAGGGGCAAGAGAAGGGTGTTGTCGGTTGCTTAAAAAACAAGCTGTGAAACGTGCTGCTGGAAGCCTGTGTCCATCTCCTCCACCCCAAATTTAAAAAGCATTGTCCCTGCACAGGTTGGGGTTGGGGACTTGGTCAGAGACTCGCTCTTGCAGTGTCTGCGGGTGAGTGTGCCCTTGATGTCTGTCTGTACTCTGTCCGGGGCCCCAGCTGGGTTTCGGGAGCTGGGGAGGGGCTGGAAGGCCCAGGCTGGCTCTGGACAGGGCAAGGTCCCTCCGAGGCCCGCCCTGTGCCTGGACGTCTGGAAGAACCCTGCTGCTGTCAGGAGGACGGTGCCGGGGGCTCTCCCGAGACCAGGACGAAAGTTGCTGGTACTTCAGGGAGGCTGGGGGCATGCAGCACCTCTCCATTGCCCCCGGGTTTGTTTTCAGGGCCCTGGCTCCTGTGGCCTGGGGTCAGGACGGGTTGCTTCGACTCTGAGGGGTTCCAATTGCAGGTGTGTAAGGAGCAGTGGCCTGCTGAGGGGGTTCTAGGGAGTGGCCTTTGCAATTTTTCTCCCCAAACTTTGAGCTTCCTCACTGAAACTCTTCCATGTTTCAGCTTAAACATTATCCTGAGCAAAAATATCTTTTCTAACCTCACCTCTGGAATAAAACAGCTTTAGACAGAATCTGTGACGGCTCAGTCGGCATGATTTTCCATCATGCACTGAGACGTGTCGATGAAAAAGCACAGAAATGAGGCGCTCAGGCCAGCCATGAGTCAAGGCCCCCGAGTCGGGGGGTCTTCTCTGCCTGCCCTGCTTGGGTTCCCTCTTGTCAGCCTTGTAGGAATCCCGGGAGCTAGGGTCGCCTTGTGGCTTGGGCGAGTCTGGCTTCTGAACCCCCGGGCCTCCCCAGCCCCGGCCCTTCTCTGCGTTTCTCCTCCCTAGAAGAAAGCCTTGGGAAAACCTTGCCTTCTTTTAAAAGCAAATGTGTAAGAGGGAGTAGGCAGACTCTTTAAAAATAATCAGGAGCTTTGGGTTCTAAATTGACTCGCATCGTGGTGAAGAATCTTAATTTCATCTCTGTGCCGGACCTTCTGGCACTTTGGAAGTGTTCTGTGAGCCCTTGACTTGGAACTGAGGATAAAACCTTAACGGAAGAACATTTGAGGAGTGGAAACACGGGAATAAGGCACCACAGTGACGTTGTCCCGGACTCCCAGGAGCAAGGAGGAACAGAGTGCTGCGAAGCCTCCTCCATTCTTTGGGCGCACGTGCATCCTCGGCGTTCTGGCCCCTCCACTTCCCGTGGGAAAGAAACTGTCAAGTATTGCGTTCGTGCTGGAGATGGGGAAGCTGTTTTATTGATGTCCGCACCGGTGGACGAGGTTCTCATCACCTCCTGTCAGAGGGAGGCCTTTGATTTCTTGGTGCAGAAGCTCAAAGTGTAAGGGGACGCCAAGGGGCTGGTGGAGGGCTCTGGGAAAGGAGGCCTGTGAACACCCAAAGGCCATGTGGATGGATCCGAGTGTCTGAGGAGGAGCTGGTGGGAGAGGTCGACTGGAGTTCCCAGGAAGGATGCATGTGGGGTTCCATCCTGTGCAGGGGGCCTGGCCGAGGGGGCCCGGCCGCTGGCCCCTGGATAGATCATGGGGAGAGCCCGGCCGCTGGCCCCTGGATAGATCATGGGGGGAGCCCGGCCGCTGGCCCCTGGATAGATCATGGGGGGAGCCCGGCCGCTGGCCCCTGGATAGAATATGGGGAGAGCCCGGCCGCTGGCCCCTGGATAGAATATGGGGAGAGCCCGGCCGCTGGCCCCTGGATAGATCATGGGGGGAGCCCGGCCGCTGGCCCCTGGATAGATCATGGGGGGCCTGGCCGCTGGCCCCTGGATAGATCATGGGGGGCCTGGCCGCTGGCCCCTGGATAGATCATGGGTGGGGGCGCTGGCTGCTGGCCCCTGTGCACGGGGCCGGAGGGGAGGCAGTTGGCCCCCTGCACAGGTCCCGCTGTGCCGGGGTTTCCACTCTGGGGCTTTCCTTCCGCCGCATTGGTGTGTAGGGCTCACGAGTGACCGGAGATGTCTCCCTCGGGGCCCACAAGCAGGGCATTCGGCCAGGCCCTCTCCTCGCCCAGCTCACGCACCTGTCATGCTAGGCTGCTTGGGACTGTCCCCTGTCTGGGTTGTCAGGGGGCTCAGCCCCACGCCCCCAGTGCTGGCCGGTGAGAAGGATGGTGAAGGAGGGCCGGGGGTCTGGGTCTCACCACCAGAAGCACTGGTGCCAGCTGTCCCCACTGAGGCTCAGAGCCGAGTTCATGGGTTCCCTCCGGAGAGGGAAGCGGTCCCGCTGGCCCTGACTTTTTATTCATTGCTGCATCTGTTACATGGACTTTGTGTCACAGTTAAAGTTGCTGTCTCTCGGTTTAAATATGTAAAAGAAACTTTTTCTGCATCTTTGGTTTCTGTATACCTAAGTTTATTAAAGGTTACTGTTGTTAGGTGACACTGTATAAAATTGTATGAATATTTTACCTTTAGCAAAAAAAAAACTCCTATGTATTTCTTTTTTCTTTTTACATTTTCATCTGGTTTCTTGAAAACTTAAATAAATTTCATAAAGAGCCTTCCTAACACGAAATGTTGGTAAATTAACTGTTGCAATAGTTAATGAAGCTCTAATGTCAGCATTGTTACTTTGTAATTTTAAGAAAATCATGCTTTTGTTTCATTGCCCTGGTTTTTAGCTGTTTCCTTGTCACTGTCACAACTAGACTTTACACCATTCTTGATATTCTGAAGAACTTTGGGGTTGTCCTCTGTATAATGACATTAAATAAATGTGTGAATGAATTGTAAATGTAGATAATTTTCAATAGTCGTTTTCACATCTAAGCTTTAAAAAAAAAAATCTCAGTGAACCAAAAAATGAAAAGCTTTTAAATGCTGTAACATTAAGGGCTCTGTTCATGTTTAGAGAACAAATAGCGCCAGGAATTGCTACCTCTTATTACTGGATTCTGATGTTTTCCTAATTTCGAAGCTTACTAAACAAAAGTGTTTGTTCTGACCATCGGAGGTATTTCTTGTTTTCTGTGACCTTCCTCTGGGCCGAGTCCCCGTGGGGAAGGACGCGGGCTGACTGCCATGAGCTGGTGGCCAGTCTGTGCGGACGCCGGGAGGCCACCCGGCCGGCCGGAGCCCCAGGTGGCAGCGGGCAGGCGTCCTTCTCCAAGTCTCGAACGGTTTGGTGGGGCTCTGTCAGCGCCGTTGGGGTCCCAAGGCCCCCCGGTGCAGAGGGAGCTCCGTGAGCGGGCAGCAAGGAAGGGCTGGCCCCTCACCCTGCGCACTGGTACCTCTGCCTCTGGAAGCTTCTCGGCAAGAATTCCGGGCCTGGGCCTGCACGTCCCGCCCGGGGCTCATGGGGGGCCCCTCACTCAGTTGTCGCTCCCCGCCATCTCGTGGGACGTCTGGGCCTGGAACGCGGGGCGGGCGAAGCCTCTGGACACTCACTCCCTCCTGGCCGCCTTTCCCTGGGGTGGGCGACCAGCCTCCCTGGACTCCGGAACCCGCCCAACGGTGCGGCCTCCTGAGAGTGGGGCCTTCGCCTGCCCTTGACTCGGAGCTGCCGGCCAGGAGAGATGTCCGGTTCTCTGCCCTCAGCGTGACCCGCTACTGCAGAAGCCAGACGCTGTCTCCTCGGCCCTGGAGTAGCTTTTAGGCCCTGAATTCTAGTAGATTCACGGAACTTTAAAAAGACAGGTGCAACATTTTGATCTTTTAAAAACCACTAGTTCTTACCTTGAGAAAATTAGTCCCATTTTTTTCTCCCTTGTGTGATTGCCTATTGAAACAGGCAATTCTGGACCAGATTCTGGACCAGCGGGTCTCTTTCTGAAAAGGCACAGAAAACCTAGGGGTGCCCAGCCCCACCCCATCTAGTGTCAGCAGCCTCTGACCTGCCTTCAGGTGGAAGCTGCATAACCCCACGTGCAGTCGGAGGCTCCTGGAAGACACGGAGGTTCGCAGACCAGAGGGGGTTTCAGAGCCGCAGCAGGTCACCGGGCGGGGAGCCTGCAGGCCGCGGGAGGGCCGGTGCTCGCCGGAGCCCATAACTGAATATTCCCTAAGAATGTTCCCTTTTCCCCAGATGTCTGTAAACAACATCATCATTTGCTCTGGGTGATTTTTCCCGGGTTGAGTGGCCTCTTTGGAGGAAGTGTGTCACCATCCGTGTGACCGGTCAGTGGGCAGGTCAGGGCTGCCAAGGTGGCAGGCTGTGGTGGGCGCTGGGCCTGGGGCAGGGCAGGGCCCAGGTGCCAGGGAATGGCCCAGAGGAGGCGCCGGCAGAGTGAGCCCCTCGCCGCACACCCTGCCCCCCCGCACCCACGTCCTAAACCTGGCTCATTGAGTCCAGGACCCGAGCCTCACACGCAGCCACTCTGTCCTTTCCTTTGGTTCTCTCATGCAACCGTCTGGGCAGCGGGAGCGGTGGGATTCTTGTGGCTGAATCAGGGAAAACGTATCCATAGCTCGAAGTGGCCCCGGGGGAAGGCAGCCCGGTACTAACTGTCATCGCTTTTGTACCATCTCTGAAAGGGCCTCTCTTTACGGAGACTCAGCCCTTAGTCTCCAGGGGCGGTGGGGCACTTCAGGGGAGCTTCAGGCAGGCTGCCTCGGACCAGAGCCCCAGGGTGCAGGCCCGCCGACAGGTGAGACTGACCCGGCACCGGAACTCAGCCCGTGCCCTTTCTTTTGGGGCTCAGGAGGCTGCTGGTCCGTCTGCAGCAGGACCCGTCCTGGGGCCTCCCTGGCTGACTGACCAGGCCTGGACCGGTGCCACCGGCCCGTCTACCGGCCACCCCTCGAGGGCCTGAGGGGCGAGTCCAAGGTAGCCAGGGGTGGAGGGGAGCCGTGCTGGGACCCGGGGAAGCTTCGGGACGAGGCCTGGCTCTGGCCTCCGAGACCCTCACACTCCCTCTTCTTGTTCTCGGGGCCTCCAGTCTCAGCAGCGCCACAAAGAAAGATGTTCCATGGTTGTAAATCGTTTTCTAGCTGAAATGTTACTTTTTCTAAACATTCTTATGAAACAAGGTTTAATTCTATCAGCTTAGTATTATAATCAAACCCAAACTAAGAACTGGGGTGTTCTGATCAATTCTCATATGAAATCGCTAGCAGGAGTAAAGCGGCAACTTCGGTGAGAAGAGATCGGCCTCCTGAATGTTAGACTCAGGAGTTGCCGCTGCTCGTGAAGCGGGCTTCCTTCCTGGGGGCTGGTAGGATGGCTTGAGGATTCCGGGCTGGAGAGAGCTGGTGCTTCAGGGGTGTTTGTAAAGCCCTTACTTTGCCAGCTGTTCAGTGTCCGGGGGACAGACCAGCAGCTACCGGCTGTCTGGACAGCTGGACGCCAGCAGGGTCTCTGAGGCCAGATGCTCGGTCCTCCTGAGAAAATCCTCAGGGAGGAGGCAGGCCGGCCGAGGCGGCAGGGGAGCGGGCCCTCCGAACCGTGCTCCCGGTTCCCACATCCAGCCGGCCTCCCCTCGGGAGTGGTCTGCAGTCTCTGACGAAGGCCCGCCAGTGTGATTCCCCTTTTTCTCACTGTCACCCCGTAACTCGCTTCTAGACGGAAGCACAGGCTTACAGAAATCAGGTGACTTTCACATCTTGTTTGGGATAGTGTTCACAGACCTGGAAATTTGTAGCTTCCGTGTTGCAATTCATGTTGCATAACCTTAAGATTATTAATAAATGAATGCCAGACCGTGACGTGCATCCCAGTGAGTGTGAAGAAATTGAGCGCTGGTGGTTGCATGAGGCTCAGCCCTCTCAGGTTCATCTTGAGCTCTGGGGGCCCCCCGCCCCCACCAGTGCGGTCCCCGCCCCCACCGCAGCCGAGTGCCCGCAGGGCCCTGCCCCGCGTCCACCCCCACATCCTGGCCCTCCTTTCCCTACCCGCTGGGCCCTGTGCTCTGGTGTGGAGGCCAGAGAGGCGCCGCCATCACCACCCTCAGCAGAGCCGACCTTGTAAGAAACGCCTCTAGGCTCTGTTCCTGGACAACGCAGGCTCTGGGCCGAGCTGGGCAAGCTGGCCTGGGAGCCGGGGAACCCCCTCGGCGGCCCCGAGCTGCAGCCCCTGGGGAGGATGGTGAACAGCCCCCCCAATCCCGGGAGGTGCCCCTTGCCTTTGGGCAGCGATGCTTCAAAGCACCCAGGCCCTGAGAGACCACTCTCGCCCAGGCCAGCCCTGCCCAAAGCGTGCCAGCCAAGCAGCTCAGCGGCCTCCCCCGTTAGGGACTAAATACACGGACACAGAGGGTCTGTGAGAAACCCTGGCTCCCAAACCCACACCAGAGCGGGCCTGACGCCGGGGCGCTGCTGGAAGGACTGAGTGACTGTGACTGTCTCCGCTGCCCCGTGTTTTGCTGGATTAATGGAAACTGCTTTGTTTGCAGGGTTTACTCTCAGCCCCAAACCAGGCCACTTCTCCAGGTGGAACTGTAGTGTAGCGACCCCACACCTGCTTGGACGTCCTCGCCCCAGCCCGCGTCTCAAGGGAGCAGCCGCAGCGCAGCACCGGCCGCGTCGGACCTTAAGCAGCGCCGCGAGGAGCAGCTTGGTGGGCGTGCTGCTGCGCGCCCCAAAGAGCTGTTTCCGTTTTTAAACCATTCTTTTGGGGCTGCAGTAAAAAATGAGAAATGAGGTTTTCTTGCTTTTTACTCTAAAATTCAATGCAATTAACATGTTATATATATAATTATACATATATACATAGTGTAAAATAAAAATGTTTCTTGGACAAGAAATCCCCTTAAATCCAACTGTTTATAAATAGTACTTCACTGTTTCTGCACTGAGTATTTTTAATACTTTAGGTGATCAGGAGACAACCTGGAATGCACTCATAAAGTTGTTACAAGTTGTTTCTTGTAATTCAGGAAGACAAATGCTGCAATCATAGACTTTTAAAAATTGTTTGCACTTAAAATAGATTAATGCTGTTAAAAAGTTATTTTGAATATGGGTGTAGTGGACCGCCAAGGTGTGGCACAAACATGCCCTTTTTTAATCTGTTAGCATTTATTTTAATACTCTCGTTCCAATGCAGTCAGCTCTGTATTATATGTATAAATAATGTAAGTCAGCAGTTGGGGAAAGGGTCACTTAAGTAAGTAATTTTCATCATCTAAGAGTGATATTTCTAATTCACACAAAGTTAATATTAAAGCTATCTTGAATACACCCCTCGCCTGTCTTCCATTAAACCGGCTCATCTGGGGAGATCTCTGCTTCTCTGGCCGCTTCCTGCCATGTCCCCATCTTCAGCCTTGGCGGGCCGCGGCATGTGTGTGCCGACTCTGGTTTCAGCGAACCATTTTCTCCTTACAGCTTAAAGCCCACGAGCTCACCTTCTGTCGTTGAGAGCTCTCACCCGCGACTCTCTGGTTGTGTGTGAAAATGCTTTGTTACCCATGTGGCGAAAAGGCTAATGAGATGACTTGGGACTTTGACCTGATGGAACCAGCTGGTGAGCAGCTCTGAGCACAGGTCGGGCCCACACCTGTGTGCGACCCTGCAGGTGACTAGAGTACTGCAGCGTGCAGCTGCTGAGCGGAGACACTGCTGTCACAATCATACACACTTGAGCCCTCTGAAAGGCCTTTATTCAGTCAGGCTCTAAACCATGGTGCCTAAAACACATTTCTCAGAGATCCCAGTAAACCAGGGGCACGTCCAAGTGATGTTAGGCTAGAAAAGATGCGAACACACTGCACTCACTCCCCTGCCATCATCTACGTGAACGTACCCACAGGATCACGCTGCTGTTGCAGAAAAACTCCCATCAGCGCAGGTCTTGGCTTCCTTCCCAAGGCGAGGAAGGTTGGGGAGCCAGCTCTCCAGCGGCCGCCTCGCCTCACAGCCGGTTGGGTCTGGGTATACAGAGACCCGCGGCGCCCGAGCAGCAGGGCCAAGTGGCCGCCTGTGCCCGGAGGCCCAGCCACTGCAGGCCCACGGGGCGCAGAGCCCTGGGGAGGGCGGGAGCCCTGGGGCAGCAGGACTGTGCTGTTTAGACCTGGGAGAGCAGGCCCACCCGCTGACGCCGAGAGGGGAGCCCCCCGGGGGCCCAGGGGCCACACGGCCCCACCCGGGAGCCCAGCCCAGCACCACGCTGGGGGGACAGGTGCATTCACTGCAGAGTCCTTCACGTTTCTGTATTTAAAGTGGGTCACGACGTCCCTGAGCTGCCCTTAGAGCTGTCCTCGCTTGGAGCTGGCTCTGAGCGGGCCCCATCCCTGGCCGCTCCCTCTCTGCTGAGCCCTCAGCGCCCCCAGCTCCTGCCCCCCAACCCTGGACGTGGACCCCAGGCCCCCCACCCTTCTCGGCCCGCCGCCACCCCCACACGGGAGGACCCTGAAGCCAGCCCCTCCCCATGCACCTGGCCCAGAAGGCCCTCAGGCCTCCCCCTGTTCCTGGGCGCCCCGCCCCCGGCCTGTGAAACGCCAGCCCCCTACCCTAGCCCCCTCGTCTGTCCCTCCCATCCCTCTGCCTTTCTGTGGCCACCGCTGCTCTGCCCCGCCCCCCACCACCAGGGGAAACAGGGGTCTTCTGTGCCCATCTACTGTCTGCCCCCCGGGCCATCAGAGCCGTGCCCTCTACCCATGGAGGCGACTGGCCTGCCCCTCGCCTACTGCCCATGCCGGGGGCCCGGGGCCGCATGCTGGTCTGGGCGCCCTCCTCAGGAGGCTGCGCCCAAGTCTCCCCAGCAGAGCCAGTGCCCCTGATGCACCCACAGAAGTCAGGATAAAGGACGGTCAGGACACACGTTCAACTCGGCAAACAGGAGGACCCGACACCATGAGAACAGCTTACTCTTTAATAAAATCAGGGGTCTCCGGTGGTATAATCTGGAAGCCGAACTGTGCTAAACACTAGCGCTGATGGACCACAGGCGTGCGGAGCCCGCGGTGAAGCCAGCCTAAACAACACATAATAACAGTATAATCTCTCTCTTCTGATTCATATAAAAATTACAAAATATCCCTGCCCCAAACCCTTACATTATGAAATGAAATAAAACCCTAGAAGGAGGTGGCTTTACAGATGTATTAGACTTGAACACACAGTAAAGCCACCCTCTGGACACGGCTGTCTTGGCCAGCGGCTCCAGGCCAAGGCGGTGGCGTGGGTCTGGGGGCAGCTCACCCGGGACAGGACGCCCGGGCCCCGGGAGGCCCGGCCCGCTCGCTGGCGCGGCGGCGGGGAGCCAGCCCGGGCGGGGGCCACAGCACTCAGCAGCCCCCACCTCTGCGCTCTATTGTGGGCAGGCGGTACTGTTTCAGGCTGGGCTTGATGTCCTTCTGCGTGTCTGTCTGTCAGAGAGAATGACAGACGCTCAGTGGGGGCCAGGGTGGGCGGGAGCACAGGGCGGGGGACGCGGGACACCCACCTTCTGGGCAGCACCAACGCACTTCAGGGGTCTCAGCAGCGGTGCCTTCGGGGCGAACACTGACTGCAGGGCAGGGCTGGAGTAGGAGGCCAGCGTGGCCGCTCCCGACAGCTTCAGCCTGGGCAGCTCCATCAGGTAGGCCGGCCCCTGCCTCCGGGGGTGGTTCTCCTCTGGCCTCACGGGTTGTTTCTACAAACAAGGACAGCCAGGTGAAGGCAGGATGCCAACCCCCTGCGGGAATTAGGCAGGGCAACAGGGGCGCTCTCACTGCTCCTGCCTCACACAATTCTGGGCCGTGAGGTGTGACCACACAGTGACTGGCCCACACACGCCGTATCCCAGGCAGAAAGTTGGGGGGCTGCTCCCAGGCCAGGCTTGCGCTGACTGCAGTCGGGGGCAGGGTGCGGTCTCGCTTCCTGCTCTGACCCCCGGGGTTGGCTGCGCGGCCTGCAGCCTGCTTCCGTGGCCAGTGAGCTAATGGATTTCACAGCTTTTAACGGCTGAAGAAAATTCCACGGCATGCGAAAACTGTATGAGATTCCAACGTCAGGGTCCAGAGTTTCATCAGACTCCCATCGCAAGGTCCAGGCACCGGCAGCCGGGCGCGGGCCTCGGCTCTGCCTGCAGGGGGCGCCCTGGGCAGGTGTCGGCAAGAAAATCATGCGCACCTGACCAGCAGGCGGGGCGGCGGGGGGACAGCGGTCACGGGGCCAAGTGAGGGGCTCAGGCTGGCGGAGTGTCCCAGTGTCCCAGCGTCCACGGCTGGGGCTGAGCAGCTGCCCCCACCCCCCAGAAGATGAAGGGAGGGCAGGCTGCGGGAGAGCGGGAGGCGAGGTTTGAGCTCGGTGGCCTCCTGGACGTGCACACGGGCCAGCTGGGCCCGGACCCAGGGTCTCGCTCTCTTGAGGGCAGCCTGGCCGCAGGGACCCCCGATGCTCGGCCCCCAGCAGACGGACCCTTGATACACGCTGGGCCGAGTGAGGAACGGCAGAGGGGCAGTCACCTCGGAGCTCGGAGCCTGCACACGGCTGTGAAGGGGATTCGGGGCCTGAGAGGTGACGTTCTCACAAGGAGAAGCCACAGCTGCTAAAAGCGTGCGCAGCAAGCGCCAGTGGCCCGCTGCTCCTGCAGGGCTCAGCGGCCAAGGGGTCACCTGGCCAGGGGTGGCCTCCCTGCGCCCCCAGGTAGGGTGGCCTGAGGGACACGACAAGGTGACCGGCGCTGGGTCTGGGTGCAGCCTGGCCCTGGGGGGTGGGAGGGCCCACGCCGCGAGGCTGTGGACGGAGCTGGTGGGTAGCAAGGGCGGGGCCATGGGAGCCGGTGCCCATGTCTGGCGTGGGCAGACGCCGTCTGGTTTGGCGGCAGGTCGCTGATGGCCCCTCCGGGCGGGTGGGGGGCCCTCCAGGGCGTCTGCCTGGGAGACACGGGGGGGTCCCTGCGGCCATCGGCTCCCCCGATCACACAGTACCTGCTTCCGGCCCTCCTGCGCCCTCTGCCAGGTGCTGTTGAGCTCTGGGGCCGTGGGGCGCTCGGGGAAGGGAGCGGGGGCCTTCCGCCTGGCCCTGGCCAGTGCCTGCTTCTCGGCCGCCCTGTGGGGAGCACAGAAGGGCCCCTCTCTTGAGAACCCACCTGGCGTCCGCCGCCTCCAGTCTCCAGCCTGTCGCTCCGCTGCCTCGCTCACGCGCGTCTCACCCACTGACCTCCGGGGAGCTCGCCCCTTCTCTGCCTCAGCCTGACAGCCTCTGGGCTCCGGGACTCGAGGCAGGAGGTGACAGGGGGGTGGTCAAATGCCCCGGGGCAGGCACTCCCCACGTCGGACGCCACCCAGCTCACTCTGGAGCCTCAGAGCGAGCGGGCTCACCCCACTAGCCCGCTCTGCTCTGACTCCCTGGGCTCAACACTGGAGCCTTGACCTCGACTGGAAGGCACCGCAGGCCCTGCTTCTCCCCTCCCCGGTGCCGCTGCAGCCTCCTTCTGGGAAAAAGTCCGAGAGAGGGGCGAGGGGCGGGTTCCCAGAGGTGTTGGCACTGTTCCCGGGACCACCTGTCCCTCTGCGCGCCCCTCACCCCCTCCGCGTGTCCCCCGGCCCCCTGCGTGTCCCCCCCTTGCCCCTCCGCACACCCCCCATCCCCTCCGCGTGCCCCTCGGCCCCAGCAGGGTGCCCACCTCTGCCTCTGGAAGTAAGGGTGCTGCAGGGCCTGGTGGGCAGTGATTCTCTCGTCGGGATCATAGGCCACCATGGCGTGCAGGAGGGAGAGGCATTGTGGGGACAGACTGGTGGTCAGTAGAGGTATCCCTGATCCCTTTTTAAAAGGAAAATCAAAACTCATAGCTCTCGACCTGCATTAAAAGCCCAATGATAATAAACGGTCACGCCGCCATTTAGAGCACGTGGCCGGTCCAGCGTCAAGACTGCACAAGGACCTGCGCTGAACGGAACAGTTTACATCTAACAGTGGGGCGGGGAGGCAGGAAGTCGTCCAGACTCCGGGAGCAGAGGGACCCTCAGGGAGCTGCGGCCCTGGGCTCCGTCACAGCCTCCGTGCGCCCCAGGGCGGCGGGCACCAGGAGAGGCACCAGGAGAGGGGAGGTCTCTGTACTTCCACTCACTTTTCCTGTGAACCTAAAACTGCTCCAAAACATTAAATCTGTTTTTAAAACGGGTGTGTGTGTGTATGAAATCTCATGCTCTAAATATAAGAAAACTTTCCCTTGAAAAGACTAACATCACATTCCCACCAGAGAAGAATGAAAGTAAATTTAAAAAAAGAACAAGACCCCAACATAGTT